TGTGTTTGATATCCCTTTGTGTATCTCTCTGTGTTTGATATCCTCTATGTGTATCTCTCTGTTTGATATCCCCTGTGTATATCTCTGTATTTTATATCCCTTTGTGTATCTCTCTGTGTTTGATATCCTCTGTGTATATCTCTCTGCGTTTGATATCCTCTATGTGTATCTCTCTGTGTTTGATATCCCTTTGTGTATCTCTCTGTGTTTGATATCCTCTATGTGTATCTCTCTGTGTTTGATATCCCTTTGTGTATCTCTCTGTGTTTGATATCCTCTATGTGTATCTCTCTGTGTTTGATATCCTCTGTGTGTATCTCTCTGTTTGATATCCTCCGTGCATATCTCTCTGTGTCTGATATCCTATGTGTATATCACACACACACACACACTGTTACGCTTCAAAGACTGCAGAGGGAGGGGGGCAGGGTGGGCATGATCCAAAAAAATGGGCTTAGAAAGATTTTGGAAAAAAACAAGAAATCTCAGTGTTTTTCTCCACTTCCTTTTTCATGGAAATATCACCACCCCAGGACTGAACGAGAAACCAACTCCTTCCTTTCTTAAACCAGCAGACACATCTCTCCCTTCCTCCCTCTTTCTCCTTCCCCCTCCCTCTCCCACCCTCTATCACCCCTTTATCTCATCCCCCTTCCTTGCCTCTCACCCCTCTTTCAGCCCCCTGTCTTCCTTCTGTCTCACTCCCCTCCCCTCCTTACCTTTCTCACCCCTCTTTCATCCCACTCTCTTCCCTCTGTCTCATTCTTCTCTCTCTCTCCCTGTCTCACCCCTTTCTCTCCCTCCCCCTTTCTCACCCTTGCCTCTTCATTCTCTACCTCCCCACCTCACCCCTGTCTTATTACCCCTCTATCTTTCCCTCCCTCTCTCACCCCTCCTCCTCATCCCCCTCTCTCCCTCCCTCTCTCACCCCTCATCTCATCCCCCCATCTCACCCCTTTTTCATCCCCTTCTTTCCCTCTCTCACCCCTCGTCTCATCATTCCTCTCTCTTTCACCCCTCTGTCTCATTCCCTCCCTCTCTCACCCCTCTGTCTTATACCCCTTCCCTCCCTCTCTCATTCTCCCTCTTTCTCCCTCCCTCCCGCTATCCCTTCCTCTCTCACCCTGCTCTCCCCCCTTTCATTGATTCCTCCTTCTACTCTGCTCTCACATACAGCTCACGTCGGAGTGCTCACCGGCTCCCGGCTTCCGTGCATCTCTGCTCCGTCCACCATGTGGTGCCCCCCCTTGCCGTGCCCCCCCACCCGAGGCACCGTGTTCCCCTCACTGGTTGAGCATTAGCTCTGTGCAGCAGTGACGCCGGCGGCCAACAGCAAGCAGATAGTTGGCGGCTTTTGCGGATGGAGGTGGCAACACGGAAGCTTCCCTTAGTTTCCGCGGCGACCTCCGCTCTCTGGGTCTTTCGTGGGGCGTCAGCGGCGTCTGGCTACAGCTCGCTTGCTGTTTCGCGACTCGCTCCTGGGAAGCGCCGTGTGCTCACAGGTTGCATCGTTCCCCGGGCTGCCGGGAGCGTGGGTGCTCGCCACAGCATCGCGCTTTGAATGGACCATAAGAACGCACCGCTGGCTCCCTTTCTGGAGGATGGGCTACATTTTTTAAAACGCCTTTCAAGTTCTGTGGATGAGGACAGCTTCGATCTGCACGGACGGAGCTCGCAAACTGAGGCAAACGCCCAACTTCAGGACGCCTGAGGATGTGAGTGGCCCCTCCCATTTCTGCTGGATTTTGGCAAAGTGAAGCTGGGGAGGAATCTTAACAGCAAATTTAGTGATGTGAGGCAGGTTTTGGAGGACGTCTCTGTCTGTGTGTGTCTCCTCTGTCTCTCCATGTATCTGTCTGCCCCTGTGCCTTGCTGTGTAGATAAAGAACAGGTCCCCATCCCAGTTGGTTGCCCAGTTCCCTTATTTATGGTTCCTTTGAGGTCGTAACCGTTCGTGTGTTTGAGTGTGTAGCTGTGTTCATTTGTACTCTTCTCTCTTCACCAGGCTTCCATGTGCGAGTGTGCCTGTGCATATGGGCCAGTGTTTTGCCCCCCTCGCTGCCCCCTTTAAACCACCCCTCTTCCCCTAATCCGCTCTTAGTGAGCATGTAAGCGCACATGTGTGTGTGTGTGTGTGTGTGTGAGAGAGAGAGAGAGTATGTGTGTGTGTGCCAGTACGTGTGTGCACGTGTGTGCGAGTGCGCATGAGTGTGCACGTGTGTGCGAGTGCGCATGAGTGTGCACGTGTGTGCGAGTGCGCATGAGTGTGCACGTGTGTGTGCACGAGCATTTGTGTCTGTGTGTGAGTGAGCAAGTGTGAGTGTGTGAAAGTGTGTGTGAGTGTGTATGAGAGTGCTCTGACTTGCACCTTTCAGCAGCTTTCATGCTGTCAGAGTGAATCGCTTGGCACTGGTTGATCAGACTGGTAGCGGGGCAACGTTAGCAGTGGTGAACTGTACCTTGCTGCTCTGCCGGCTCGTCTGAGGACTCGGAACGGCTCTACCAGCTTCTTTCAGGAAGCATCGCTCTCTGGTTTTTGCACGTGACACCCTACTCACACTGCACTAAATTGCGCTGGGTAGGTAGTCCAAGATGGCTGTCCGTCATGCTGGAGAGGGGCAGTACGTGAACTCTGTGAGTTGGGTATACTTTTAGACCACCTGGAATCTTTAAAGAGACCCCCCCCCGTGTCTCTCCCTGGCCACAGCCACCAGTTCCACCAAGCTGGAAGACCTGAGCTACCTCGATGAGCAGCGTAACGCACCTCTGCGGGCCTCCATGCGCCTACCGTGCTCTGGCTCGGGAGGAAAGACCCTGCAGGACTCCAAGGGTAGGCCGGCCCTCTCGGTCCTGTCCTGTTCCACTTCGTGTGGAGGACTTTGGGATAGGTGACAGCGGGCTGCCTTGCCAGTGATACCGGTTCTGCATTCCCTAGCTCGGTTCCTGCCCTACAAGCCAGCGGACATCATGCTGAAGCCGCTGCTCTTCGAGGTGCCCAGCATCACCTCGGACTCTGTGTTTGTGGGACGCAACTGGGTCTTCCAGCAGCTAGAACAGGCCCTTGGGAGCCAGGCCACAGGAGAGGGCCGCGGAGCCGTGCTGGTGGCCGGGGCTGGGGCCGGCAAGACTGCCATAGTCTCCCGTCTGGTGGCCCTCAGCTGCCATGGAGGGCGCATGCGTCAAATTGCCTCCAGCAGCCCTGGAGCTCCCCCTAGAGGTAAGGGCAGGACGTGACTTGTGTGTCGACCAAGTTCTTCACGAGTGCATCTTGGAAATACAGAGAAAAGTGAATTAGCTTGCCAGGTCTTGGTTGCTCTGTCAGGGTGCCTGGTCAACAAAGATAGTGTTAACTCATTGGTCTCCATACCTGTTCTTACCCTACAGGTGGCGACAGCAGTTCAGAATTACCGCTCAGCCAGGCCACCTGTCCCTCAAGCACTCCTGGTACCCTGCGGGATGGCAGCTGTCCCGGGACACCCGAGCTCCAGAGATCCAGGGAGGAGACCATCAAACGGCTGGCCTCTAAGGTAGGCCACTCCTACTCTCAGATGGGCAGCATCTTCATGCCGCTGATTGGCTGAAGCCGTCGCCTGTTGCATTCCCTCGGTTGCAATTGGCCATGTGAGCAACTCAGTGCAGAGAGAAGCTCATATTTTCAGTCTGACTGCGATTCAGCGAAACACAAACCTAGTACGGAACCAATATTTCACAATGGAAGAAAATGTGTCATGAGTTATCTGTCTGTTGTGTTATGGTCAGCCTATGACTGATGTTTATTGTAGTAGCCGGTCTTCTCGAGCTGCAGGGTCGTGTTTTCTCAGCTTATAAAGAGACATTAAAGTGTTTTCCGGAAGAACGGATGTTTATTGACAGCCACGTGGCATTGGTGAGACCTACCGTCTCCGGGAGCCCCCCCCCCCCCCAGATACGTAATGAAGCATTCTCTGTCCGTGCTGTGACCAGTCGCTCGCTAGTGGGGTTGGATTTATTGGTTGCCGGAGATTCATCTTTTTCCATGAGTCAGAGATATTTTGAGGCTCTCCCAGCCAATGATGTGATCCACTGGGTTTTGCCTCTACTAACACCAACCCCCCCCAATCTCCAAAATCGCATTTCCACCAGCCTGCAAGGGCGCCGTGCCTGCTGAATGGACACGCCTCCCACTTACTGCGCCATGGTGCCGCGTCACTGAGGCACCGGTAAGCAGGCTGTGCAGGCTGCCTGCGGCCTTTTTTGTTAGGTAATGCTTAGCGCCTACAGTCCTTTAACGACACGCTCGTGAAATTCCAATGACTTCAGGGCTCCCCTAATTATTTCCACGGCCAAAACAGAAAGTGTGAGACCTTCCAGCATAGTTTCTGCTTCTAATGAACGTCCTGACATTTCTTCAAAGGAACATCAGGCAGCTGCGGTTACTCAGCAGGTCCCGAATGGAAGGGCCCGAGAGCTTGGCTGGCTCGGTGTGATTCTGCAAAGTTAGGCAGATTTATCGGACAATCTGCACAATTGATATGCGACCCAGTTGCCAAGGAGACCACCCAGCTGGAAGGTTTGGGTGACCTCGAGTAAACAGTGCAAAACTGGAGTCCATAATACTGAACCCCCCCCCCACTGCATTCAAAAATCCCGTGTCTGGGGGCTAGTATTTAAGGCTGTAATCCTCCTTCAGCATGTGATACCCAGATTACAGGCCGCTTTTGATTGTAATGAAATTCTATTTTTGGTGCGTTTGAGCTTTTTAGTAAATGACTTAAGCAAAGTGCAGACAGTGATTTTTAACCACGACTTAACCGCATGGCTACTTTGCTCCGGATATGAGACAATGGAGGGGTGCAGCAGATCAACGACTCACTATATAGCCAAAAGTGTCTCGTTCTGAAACCAAGGGTATTAGTATGAAGCTGGTCAGCCCATCGCTGCTGTAGTTGCCTCTTTTCTGGGGAGGCTTTCCATTAGATGTTGGAACATTGTTGAGTTGGATTTGCAGCCATTTCTGTTGGGTATTCATGTTGAGTGGTCAGTCGCCATTCTGTGAGTTTGTGCGACTGACCACTCTGCACCTGAACTATCTTCTTGATGGTTTGATCTTCACAATCACTTGACCAGGGCAGCTTCTGCAGGGCAACTTGTGGCTAAATGTCCTCTGATGGTGCCAAGTGGAAACTCACAAACCACTTCTGTACAACAATTCTTCCCATTCTGCTGGTAATGTGTGTTACATGACATTGTGTGACAGTGTGTTTAATAATATGCCTGTGTCAGCAATGGGTGTGGTTTAATTAGGCGATTCCTCTAATTAATATGGGTGTCTACATACTTTTTGGTCTTATAGTTTGTGTGTGTGTGTGTGTGTGTTATGTATTTATTACATTGTCGGGACCAAATGCCGCTACAATGTGATATAACCCAGTGCGTGCGTGTGTGCGTGTGCGTGCGTGCGCGTGCGTGTGTGTGCGTGCGCACGCGCGGTTTCCTGGTCCCCATAAGGGAAAACTCTATTTTATAAAAATCAGTGACTGCTATGAAAAAACTAAAAATGCAAAAAAAACTCTTGTATTTTGTTTGGTTACTTATGGTTATGGTTAGGGCAGGGTGGCGGTTAAGGTTGTCATAGTTAGCGTTAGCATTTTTCCCATTGAAATGAATGAGCGGTCCCCATAAGGATATGTGTGTGTGTGTGTGTGTGTGTGTGTGTGTGTGTGTGTGTGCGTGCGTGCGTGCGTGTGAGTGTGCATGTGTGTGCGTGTACAACAAAAACAATATGAGAAGCAGTCTATAAAAAAAATTCAGGGTCCCAAATCCATTTCAGCATGTTCTACCAGGACTGTAATGGCTGCTTAACCCAGGGCACCTTTAAGAGGAAATAGCGAGTGGGGTAATGAAATGTAATATTTCTATTGCCAACATAACATACAGCACACGGTCATGAACTTGCATACCTATTTTATGATCCACCATCCATCCATCCATCCATCCATCTATCTTCAAATCACTGACCCTGGTCAGGGTTTTGGCCTTTTGCATGTTGTAGCCCACCCCCACTTTAGGAAGGTAGTGTGGGGGTGGCATTTTAATATTCATTAAGAATTAACCAGATAATGGTGCACCAATTGTACCAAATATTATTAGGTGACTTGTAATTGATGTCATCACCTTGTGACTACGTAGACTGCTTAGACATTCCTCTGGAACTTTCTGTCTACTGCCCAGGTCTTTACAGTCTACTAATTCTTCATACTAAACAGCACTAGTATATAGTTTAAACATTAATGAAAATAACAGGGTCAAACCCACACACTATCGATAAATAGTAGTTCTGCATTTTTGGTAAAGTAGTGCTTCGAATAATACTTAATATTCCTCGTACGTTTATGTTCGCTGAACGTGTGGAAGCTGTTCCCCGCGGATATACAGACAGGGCATTCCTGTCCATTTGAATCTCATCTCTGCTGTCCTGATTGTTCGATCTCACTGAGTTTTCGTCTCACACCTACTTAAGTTGCTAAAAGACAGATGGTTAATTATTTCATTGTTTTCTATTCCCCACTGTCAAGTGAATCACTGGGTTTGTTATGTAAGCGCAGACGAGGCAAGAGTTTAAAATGCTCTCAGTCAAAGCCATGAAAGAATCCCGAAAGTGTAGCGTCACCTCTGACCCTCCATTACACTAGGAAGGGGGTTACAGATGCAAGTAAATACTAGATAGTTTTTATATAACATTTATGTTTCACTATTCTTTTTACAACAGATCATTCTTTTTAGCAATATGTCCCAGAATCCTCTTGGAACTAGCTGTTAATCACCAAATCTGCCGCCCTTTTACCTAATGATTCAGGGAACCATTCTTTAGCTCTTGGCCAAGACTGTGGTTTTAAGTCCTCCGGGCCACACAAGTTTTTTCAATTAGAATTTGATGATTAGTGGTCATTGTTGACACACCACAGCACACAGTGCACAACAACGAAATGTGTCCTCTGCATTTAACCCAAATGTGACATCATGGCATAGCAGGGGGCAGCTAATTCAGCGCCCGGGGAGCAGTGCTTGGGGGCGGTACCTTGCTCAGGGTACCTCACTAGTGCCTTGCTGGTCGGGGATTCAAACCAGCAATCTTTCAATTACATTTGCACTTCCATAACCATTAAACCACCACTGCCCATGGTTTGTTTCTTTAAACTGGACACCCGTCCTGCACTCTGTCCTGCCTGACCCTGTGTACTGCTGCTGCTGGCTAGCCTCTTGTTAGCTGATGGTTTAGACCAGTCTTTCCCAGTCCGGTCCTCGAGCATCCACAGACAGTCCACGTTTTTTGCTTCCTCCCAGCTCCCAGTAGGGAGCAAAAACGTGGACCGGCTGTTGGTGCCTGAGGACTGGATTGGGAAACACTGGTTTAGATGACTGACACTCTTCTCTTGGCTGCGGGTTTCGTCACTATGCTTTTCCACACCTGAGGATCCGAAACATTGCATGCTCCTTAACTGAATGTTTCAGCATAAGCACTTTTCAGATATACTTTAAATTTCTCCAGAACATGAGACTTGATCTTCAGGTATCCCACAATCCCCTGCCAGCTTTTTGGCGGTCGCTGAATTGTGACCAAGGGGTAAGATTGGCCCATGTCAGTTTCCTGCAGTCTGTAGCTTTGGCAGGGGTCACATTTCTGCTCTGTTCTTTTTCTGCCTTTGCCCAGCGGTTATTTCTTTAGAGGTTGTGTCCAAGAACATTGCCGTCCTCTGCCAGGAAACCCTGGGTAGGACGTCTCTGAGCTGTCACTTGTGGAGCGCTATTTCAGGGGGCCGTGGCCGGCTCGTCCTCTTTGTACACTGACCTGTACTTGTGGTTTGGGACTAATTACTGCTGATGGGACCAAAGAGGTTTTGAAGGCCAAAGCAGACAAGACTACTGTGTGCTGTCAGTCACTGCAGGGTGTCACCCAATGGGACCCGATGAAGTAACAACTGTACATTGGGGTAAACTAATCAATTTTAAAGTGCCATTTCTCCCATTGGAAGTAATGAAGTTCCCCCTTGTACTTTTCTAGTGTCGTTGTCCCCAGATCTGGATCTGACTCTCCCTCCATTCCCATCCCCCCATCCCTTTATTTCGCTCCATTCCTGTCTTTCTGTCTCCTCGCTCTAGTCTCACCCTTGCAATCTTCCCTCCTCTGGTTATATACTAGTTATACATCAGTGTGTAGAAGGTTCCAGATCCTGCCTATGGTGAGTCACCTGCCTTTGAGTTACTTGAGTTTTTTCCTCCAGTCCGTGGACCTTCCCATGAGGTAGAATGCCCCCTCTGTTTCGGGCCTCGGATCTGTGCGGTAAAGAGGGGGTCCCGGGGGCTGAAGGGTTAAAATCCCAGGAGTGTGGTCCTCAAACAGACCAAGCAGCCTGTAGGTTTAACAGCACGCCCACTTTGGCACATTTGTCCAAAGAAGCAACGTCTACGAGCAAAGCGCTTGCCATCTGTACCAAAAGAGTCCAGATTCTAAAAATAAATTCTGTTTTCGCTCTCTGAGGTTTTTTTTTCTCATTTGGGTTGATTGAAGCTTTGCTGTGGATCTGGGTTTATATTCTACAAAAAATGACCATTCCCACCAGGTGGTGGCGTACCACTACTGCCAGGCGGACAACACCTACACCTGCTTGGTGCCGGAATTCGTGCACAGTGTCGCCGCCCTGCTGTGCCGGGCGCCCCAGCTCAGCGCGTACAGGGAGCTGCTGCTGAAGGAGCCCCACCTGCAGAGCATGCTGAGCCTCCGCTCCTGCGTGCAGGACCCCTCAGCAGCCTTCCGCCGGGGTGTGCTGGAGCCCCTGGTCAGCCTCCGCGAGGGTGAGCCTCCGTCTCGCTCTCATTGGCTGCACCATCTGTCCGTCTTTAGCCACGCCTCTTACTCTTACATGTTCACAAACCATATATTCTTCTGGAAACAAGCCATGATCACATGTAAACACTCTTTATAAATGTAGGTTACATGTCTAAATAGATATAAAGAAACAAGAAGGATCTGTATTTTGAATAGTGCTGTGATTACAGATCTGACTGAAGCTGATCTTTTAGAATCACTGCAGCCCAGTAGAGTTCTACGCAAAGTTCTTTCTGAAAGTTTCATTAGTCCTGTGCTCTGCTTATATGTATGATATTGTGGGACCCTTGACAATGGAAGCTGATGGTAAAGCCCCCTGTGTTGAGATAATCAGTGGTTGAAGGCAAGGCTCAGTTTCGAGCACTAATTGGATATGGAACCAGCAGGAAGGTTCTCCATTGGCCAGTAGGGCGGAGAGCAATAAGCAACAAGGCTTGCTGGCTACCGCGGGTTCACGGAAGTTTATTTTCTGGCTGAGGAGCCTGGAGGAAAAGAGTGTTCCTGCAAATGGTCGAACCCGTGATTGGGTGCAGCATGGAGACACAGGCATGGTGAACTGTAGATGTTTACTGTGGACCTTGAAATGCCAATTACTGCTTAATTACCACATTTTTGTCATGGTTTTTATTGCATGTTCATTCTTGCTATACCGACAGCATATTTCTTTATCCTTTGAATATATGTATTTCTGACAGAGCCGTTTGCAGCCAGGTGTAAACCGTGAGCATAGCCTTTAGAGTTGGCTGGTAATGGCTAACTTCCATACCAGGCTTGGCAATAATAAAATGTGAGAAAATAAGAAGCGTGAAATAAGAAAAACGTGAACAGGTTGACCAGGGAAACTCAATGATAACAAATGTAAACAGCTACATCCTCTACTCTTTACTGATGGGGACAGTCTGCTCATGCCAGAATGGAGAATAATCTTCTCAGAGTTACAGGGTCACCACTGCTGTCCAAACATTTATATTTTACTGGAATAAAGCTTGAAAAGTCCCCGCATCTCTGCAATCCCAGAAAGGAAGACCCCGGAGGAGGATCACGTGATCCTGATCGACGGGCTGAACGAGGCGGAGTTCCACAAACCGGACTATGGGGACACCATCTCCTCATTTCTCATCAGAATCATACCGAGGTTCCCCGTCTGGCTGAAGCTCATAGTCACAGTCCGGGTCAATCTGCTGGTAAGCTCAGTCTCTGGAATCCATGCTGTACCGGTTTGGGTGTGTTAGGTGCTGTTCTTCCAGATCCTACTAGACTGCAGTTTCTGTATGATAGCCTGGACTTCATGGAAGTATGGAAACAGAACAGGGCTTCAGATCTGCTCTCTTGTCTTTCCTTGGACAGTGTGGAGGGCTTCCCAGCTTTCTGGTGGTCAGGCCTTCAGGGTGTCTGCCCCCTCCCCCTCACAAATCCCAATAGCTCACTTCTGTTCTCCTCCATGGCCAATAACAAATTTTACCAAAGAGGTTTGGCACCTCTCAGTCCTCCAAATCGACCAGACTTGACCAGGTAGTCCTAGTGGCTTACCTAAATCCAGCACTTGTAAATGTGCACAGTGCCAAAAAAGCAAGTGTAGATGTGGGCCGGCTCTGGAGCAAAGCGGTTACGTCATGTTGACTTGGAGAGCGTCCTGGAAATGGAGCCACTTTCCGCCTATGTACCTCAGCTCGGTGGTGACAGGAGTACAAGGATCAGCTGAGGCTGATAGGTGGGTGTTCAAGTTGTCCTCAGGAAACTTTACCACTGGGGGGCGCTTTGACCTCCTCCACCCCTCGAGACCACATGAGAGCAGGAAGCCTCCTGGGTCCATCCAGCCTGGGGAAGCAGCATGTCTCTCATAGCGATGCCTGCATCGCCTGACTAATCCTCTCGCCCTAGTCCGGCGTTTCGCACAGACGTGTTGCCAACACCTCGTCTCCTGTATTATTCAGTGTTTTCGTGCCCCTGCTGCTCTGTATCGTGATAAGACATACGGGGGAGGTTCATCTCTCGGCAGTCAAGTCTCTGTTGGGTTTTTGGTGGGGTGTAGATTCATCAGTGGCCCCTGGGAATAAAGACACGGCCTCTGAGTGTGCTCCTTAGTGCGGTGTGTGATTGCCGGCGTTGCCCCCAAAGACACGGCCTCTGAGTGTGCTCCTTAGTGCGCTGTGTGATTGGCGGCGTTGGCCCCAAGACAGCCCTGCTTGGCCTCTGTGTCTCCACCCTCTGGTTTGTCACTTGGTGACGAATCTGTGGTCAACCTGGGAGGGGCAGGATGAAGTAGTAGGAAATCCCTCAGGCTACATGACAAGGCATTCCTTTTGTTACTGTTTATTAGTTATAATAGCCAATGCAATAAAAAAGGTAGAAATTAGGATTTATTTAACTCTGTCTTTCTCAGCCCACATCTTTGCTCCCTCCAAGCTCCCAGCTTATACTTATCGAGCAACCAAGAATGCTGAATAGCTGATGCTGTCTGGGGGTCCCCGAGGAATGGGTTGAGAAACATTGATTTAATTGACTTTGGTGTAATGTGGTCGTGTTCATCACACGAGGGCTTCTTCTTGGTAGCCTGCCAGCACGCGCAATCGATGCTTAGGGGTAGGTTTTTCATCTGCATGTCATCTGTTCTTGACAGGACATCACTAGCCTGATGCCCTTCACCAAGATCACCCTGGACCATTTTCCAGACAACCAGGATGTTCAGGATGACCTGTATGCCTACATCCAGCACCGCATCGGCAGCAGCAAGGAGATCCTGAATAACATCTCACTGAACGGCAAGGCCGACCCAGCCATGGTGGGCAAGTTGAGCAGCCACCTGGCCTCACTCAGCCAAGGCTCCTATCTGTACCTGAAGCTGACCCTGGACATGTTTGAACATGGCCACCTAGTCATCAAGAGCGCCAGCTACAAGGTCGTGCCTGTCTCGCTGGCTGAGCTCTACCTGCTGCAGTGCAACATGCGCTTCACCAGCGGTGCCGCCTTCGAGCGCGCCCGGCCCGTCCTCAACGTGGCACTGGCCTCGCTGCACCCACTTACCGATGAGCAGCTCTTCCGAGCTGTCAACGCCGGAGCTGTAGCTGGCGAGCTGGAGTGGGAAGACTTTCGGCAGAGGGTGGAGGCCCTATCCTGCTTCCTGGTGCGCAGGAGGGACAAAACTCGCATGTTCTGCCATCCTTCCTTCCGTGAATGGCTCGTGTGGAGGGCCGATGGCGAGAGCACGGACTTCCTGTGCGACCCCAGGTGAGAACCGCACCCACTCTACCAACCAGAACCTTCAAGACTCAACAGGAGTCAGTTCCAGATCCCACATCAACGATTGATTAGGCTGTCACTAGATACTGAATGAGCGTGTTCCTCAACGTTGGAACGCTGGGACATCTTGCTTAGAGGTGACAGGACATCTGGACTCGTGGTGCAGTGTACTGTAGCTGTGATTGGACGCATCCCTTGTCCTCACACTTAGAGAGGTGATATTACTGTTCTGTGTTCAGCCGCAGGCGGGGTACTCAACTCATCGTGAGGCCATGGCAATAAATCTCCGAGCAGCATTCCACATAGATGCAGACTCGTATCGGGGGCAGTCAAGATTGGATTAACACACGGGAAGCTTGTTTTGAAATGCGGGCAAGTGGGGAGAGTAATTAGTGTTCCCTGGTCAATAAACGGTCATGTACTTTAATCTATTTAGAAGGAAAGGTTATGATGCGGAATCCAAGAAAATAGCAGAAACCAAATAGCCTGTTTATTCTGAGCTTAAAAAACATTAAACTCACAACGGTGCTCTGTGATTTCCAAGAAAATATAGATAAATTCCCTGATGCATTTATTTTGTCAGGCACATTGATCAGTCAGTCTCTGCACTGCCACAAATGGACCATCACACTAGCATTTTAAGCCTATTTAATATAAACAAAACAGCAAATTGTGTAAAATAATTTATCTCACGATGATCTTACTTCCTGGTAATTTCTGAAAGCCAGGGCTACGCTGGGTCCTGGTAACTGCAGATAGAATCACGTGGGAAGCCTGTGTGGAATAGAGGAGTCTCTGTGTCCCGTGCAAAGGTTTCTCCTGCCACTGGCCTGACACGCTGTCCCGAAATCCTCAAGGACCCGTCCGCTCCCTGAATCTTCATAAACGGAGCAAACTGACACCCACGTCCCCCTGAGTACTCAGACGAGGCTGTTTCTGCAAACATTTAACCGTAGCTTGATAGCTGTCAGCTGTCAGTTTTACTGGGTCTCCAGTGTGCCCGAACACCCACTGCAGAGATGAAAACCGGAAAGTTTGTCTGCACTGAGACCAGAAACTTCTTTATTCCTTAATTTTTGGAATTTCTGCCTCTGGGGCACGCTGTCACCATGAGCGTGCTGTCAATAAGCCGTCAATCGCTATTCGGCGGAACACGGCAAGCTGCAGCTGTCACAGTCACGGGCCCCGGTGGTTCTGTACGTTCTGCCGCATTTCTCACCCTTGTGCTTGGCTGTAACTTTTACCAGCTTGTTTTAAAAATGTGGCTCGCAGTCAGTCTAGGTCAAACACACATGCGCTAGAGTCAGGCTGGAGGGCAATGCAGAAGCCAGCGAATGAAATGGATAAACTGGATGTGGTTTAACGGAGATGCACTGTTAGCTGTTAAATATGTACGCAGCTGCCTGAGATATTAGCTCGTAATCTGCTCGCACCATCTTCTGACGGATTTGACAGAGGGGCACAGAGCTGCAAAAGGCGACTCTAATTCCTGTGTCCTCAGGGCTCCTGTTTAGCAGTGGCGTGGACTCCCGTGACCTTGTTGCCGAGGCAACCTTAAATGTGACTATACAGTATGTGCCTGATATTTGCAGGAAGGTGTGTCGCCTGTCCCTGCCCACTGCAGCAACTGGCATGGTGTGTTCTCCACCAGGCTGCCATTAAGGCTCTGAGAAATAAGGCAACATCAGGGACTGGGACAGAAGAAAGCGTGCAGCCCCCCCACCCCCCGGCCCTGGAAACTTGTTAGTTAGGGCAGCATCGATCATGGAGATCAAAGGCGAAAGTGGTTGTGTGTGGCCTTTTAATGAAGTTCCCAATTAACAAACAGCAGGGCAGACGAGGAGAGAGCACATGCCCACCCCCCCCCCCACAAGCCCACCAGCTCATTTGCTCGGAAGAGGACCAGTGCTCTTCAGCACCATTTAATCACACGGAGGGTCCTGATGAACGCGACCGTCGGTGAACTTAGGAGCGAGGGGAGCAAGCACATCCGTGATCCGCATTTAAATGTGCGAATTTGAAAGTGGACACATTTGAAGGAGATGGTTCAGAGCGAGGAGTGGCCCAGCTGTGGCTCCTCTGGCTGGAGCTGAGTCACCCTTTGCCTTGCTGAGTCTGAGAGCTTCCCAGGGAGTCACAAAGGCACAGCGCTCACCTGATCGCGCGACATGACAGCTGCACCAATACTTCATCTTAGGCATCACAGTTGCACCTGTAACTGCTGCCATTTGATTTATTTATGTGGTGTATGTCTGCCATGCCCCACAGCCCTGACCAGGAAAAGTAGGTATCGGATGGATGGATGGATGGATGGATGGATGGATGCTATGACAGTGACTGGGCAGCAGTGTATTATGGGATACAGTGACTTAATGAGGCTTTCCGTCCCCTGTAATGGCTCTTTGTCTGCCCGCAGGAGTGGCCACGCCCTCATGGCCTTCATGCTGTCACGGCAGGAGGGGAAACTGAACCGCCAGCACACTATGGAGCTGGGCCATCACATCCTGAAGGCCCACATCTTTAAGGTAATGAGAGGAGGTGCAGTGGGGTCCGGGGGGGTAGATCCCAGGGGTCATCACTAGCAGAGGATGCTGCTCTTTATTGCCTTCTTACCAAAATGTATATATCTGAGGTGGGGACACATCTGTTCCTCCTTTGTTCATTTGATGATTTTCATCTGAATATTTTTAAATAATTAAATAACAATGAATAACAATAAGGGGTGGCACCTCCAGAATTGGAGGTTAGTTCGTGTGTCACTGGGTAAGATATTCCAGAAGGTTCGGTGGGCCTAGCATAACATTTTCCACCGCTGGTGTCTCTCACCTTCACGCTTTCTGTCTCTTCAGGGTCTGAGCAAGAAGATGGGCGTGTCCTCCAGCGTGCTTCAGGCCCTGTGGATCAGCTACAGCACTGACGGCCTGTCCGCTGCCCTGGCCTCCCTGAGGAACCTCTACACGCCCAACGTCAAGGTAGGTGCCATGGTGGACGGGTCTGGACCAAACATGACCTTGGTCGGGAGAAAGTAAAAATGAAGAAAATGATTTTGCAATGAAGCAGCCAAACTGGTTTATGTTACAGTCAGCAACAGCTCTGATTTTATATCATATGTACATGTTACCCGCCAGCAAAGGTTGATGCCTTCTAACCTGCAAGAAAATTGACCTTGTCAAGGAGATTCTCCATTTTTCTTAACCATTTATCCAAGGCTGGGTGGTGTTCAGCCAGGAGACTATCCTGCAAACCCAAGGGACACCCTGCACAGGCTGCCTCTCCATCACTGCATGACCTTGTCAAGTCATTTCAGAAAATTATGCTTTAAATATTTCTCCCTACTACATATGGTGAATTCTTGCACCACAGGGAAAATACAAACAGGGGTATTTTTTTAAAAACCTCACACTTTGCTTTTTGTTCTCAAACAATGACCTTCTCCTCCAAACTCGTTCCAAACGATTCAAGGTCATTTTTGCTCTGAAAGGTTTTGCTTTGAGCCACTAATTTATTCCATTGACAGGGAAGTAAATAAAACCAGTTCAGTCCTTTGCCTTTCACTGTTGTTTGATCAGGTGTCTTTTATTCAAATTCCTCCCAGAAATGACGTGGTTTGATCATCCTGCGAGGGGGCGGCACGAGACACGCTCTAGCGTTTAATCAATTTGGGAATTGCAGTCTCTGCATGATGGAGCCAGCTTATGTCTGAGTTCCCCAAACAGCTAAAACGCAACATCGTTTTTGTGGAGAAATCAAAGAATCACCAAGTAAATGCCTGAGTCACCTTAGGCCGAGTCACCTATGAGCTGCCTGTATTGGTTATTTAGTCAAGCTAACATGCTGTTTGTTAGCCAAGAAGCTGTTTGGATAGATGAGTCACAGTTTCTCTAACTAAGACACTGTTTGGTCAGTCACATTTCTGTTTGGTTAGTTAGGAAACTGTCGCATTAACTGAGAGTCATTCAAATTTATAATTCATCACCTGAAGCCATTCAGGACAAACATAATAGAGCCTCTTGCGGAAATACATTCGTGACCTTGTAGGTGGTGCTGAAATACTTTCTATCTTAGGAGTTAGTCAGCTTCAGTGTGCTGCTGTGTGAGGAAGCTCAACCGCCTGAGCTGTGATGAAGATCCATAGGCAGAGGAGACTGAGCAACGGATATTTTAATGGAGTTTGTGATCAGTTAGAACAGTGTGTCAGGGACTTGCAGACAGTCCAGGTTTTTGCAAAAATGTGGACTGTCTGGCAGGGACAGTGGGTTCCCGGGGACTATGTTGGGAAACACTGAGTTAGAAGACCGGTTAGCTGTGCACTTAATCCGTTATCGTTGAGTTAGCTGCATCCCTGCTGGACTCCTGTCCAGCAAAGCGGGTGATGGATCGGCAGAATTCCCATACAGCTGGAGATGGATGAGAAGCCACAGGTAGCGGCACATGGAGATTGATGCTGGGAGTAGCTTCTCCTCCCTCCAGCGAGGCTTCATCACTCACAGCCAACACTGTAAATGGTCTGCATCTCGCCGTAGCCCTAGGTGGGCTTGACGCCTCTGCTCGCACTGCTCTGCACCTGGGAGATTTGTGGCGTGCCGGAACCAGCATATCTCTCACAGTCGCCGCGTGGGATCTGCAGATGAAAACACCCATCGTAACAATTCATTCCCCCTCAGCAGCAACTCACCCCCTCCCAGACCACAGGCGCTGGTTGTTTTCCTAGCAGGTCGATATTGGCATGTGAGTTATTACCCCCCAAGGCTGGGGGTCCTGCCTGCATTATAATTGTGTGCGGAGTTTGCATGTCCTCCCCATTTGCGGGTTCCTTCCAGATACGCCAGTTCCTCCCTAAAAACCAAAAACCCTCAAAGTTAGTAGGTGACCTGGTGTCTCTGAATGGCCTATAATGTGTGTCCTGTGCTGGATGGGCATCCCATCCAGGGTGTCCCCTGCCTCTTGCCCTGTGCTGCCCAGGATTGGCTTCAAGATCTGTACTGGATACGCAGTTAAGAAAAATGGATAAATTAGTTTAAATCATAGGCTGGACTAAGGCAAAAATAAGAATCAGTGTGGGTGTGTCTATTTGTCCATCCACCTCATCAGCAACTTAAGATATGTAGGGGTTGGACAATGAAACTGACACACTGACCAAACTGGTGTTTTGAGGTTTCACGCCTATATATGGGTGGCCTGATGGCCAATCTTCACCGATTGCACGTTCCATCAGTAACAACAGAGTGTGAAGACTGAATTAGCAGAGCAATAGCACAGCCGAACATAAAATATTGCAATCGATACAACATGATGGGAAGCATATCAGAGTTCAAAAGAGAACAGTGACCAGGACAGAAAGTCTTTGTGATGTATCAAGAGCCACGGAATCCAGGGTAATGTCGTCATACCACCACGAAAGATGGACCACATCTAACAGGAGTAAATGTGGATGTAGGAGGAAGCAGTCTGAAAGGGATGTCTGGGTACTTACCAGGATTGTATCCAAAAAAAACATAAAACTACAGCAGCCCAGCTCACTGCATAATTAAAAGTGCATCTCACCTCTCCTGTTTCCGCCAAAACTGTTGGTCAGGAGCTCCACAGGGCCAGAATTCATGGTCGAGCTGCTATAGCCAAACCTTTGGTCACTCATGCCAAACATCGGTTTCAATCTTGGGTTGTGGACAATGCGAAACATATTGTTCTCTGATAAGTCCACCTTTACTGTCTTTCTCACATGCGGGAGAGTTACAGTATATAGAATCCCCAAAGAGACTTACCACCCAGACTGTTGTGTACCCAGAGTGCAGCACGGGGTGGATCAGTGATTGTTTGGGCTGCAATATCATGGCATCCCCTAGGCCCACTGCTTGTTCTAGATGGGCACGACACTGCCAAAGACTACCAAGCCATTCTGGAGGACCAGGTTTACCCAGCGGTTCAAACATTGTACCTTGAAAATGGTGCCATGTATCAGGATGATAATGCAGCAATACACACTGCAAGACTGGTGACAGAATGGTTTGATGAACATGAAAATGAAGTTTCCTATGGCCTCCACAGTCACAAGATCTGAATATTATTGAGCCACTTTGCGGTGTTTTAGAGGAGTAAGTCAGAAAATGTTTTCCTCCACCAGCATCATGCAGTGAACTGGCCACTATTTTGCAAGAGGAACAGCTCAAAATCCTTCTGGCCACTGTGCTGGACTTTTATCTCTCATTCCCAAAACAAGCTAATGATGTAATGGCCACAGAAGGAGGCCCTACACCATATCAATAAATGATTGTGGTCTAAAACCAGGTGTTTCAGTTTCATTTTTCCAACCCATGTAAATCTTGTCATTTCCCAACCCAAACCCCGCCTCCCAGGTAAGCCGTCTCCTGATGCTGGGTGGGGCCAACGTGAACTACCGCACGGAGGTGCTGGGCAATGCGCCGGTGCTGTGCGTGCAGTGCCACTTGGGCCACCAGGAGCTAGTGAGCCTGCTGCTGGAGTTCGGCGCCACCGTGGAGGGCACCTCGGAGAACGGGATGAGCGCCCTGTGCTTCGCGGCAGCCGCTGGCCACCTGGGCCTCGTCACACTGCTCTGCAAGCGTGGGGTCAAGGTCAGGATGTGTTAAAAGCGCTAACACGTCGCTAGCTGTTAGCTAACGCTACATGAGTCCGTATGTCTTAAAGTTTCTCTTCAGTGTCTGAACCCTCTGGTGCCTGAACCCTTCCGGGTGGTGTTGATTTTTGTTAACCATGCTGGTCTCTGGCTACCCTGATTCAGCTACAGATGCTCATGTTCAGTACCTGTGTGCAGGTCGACCATGTGGACAAGAGTGGTCAGTGCGCCCTGGTCCATACAGCTCTACGGGGCCACCTGGATGTCATGCAGTTCCTGCTGGCCATGGAGTGGAGCCCTGGCGGTGGGCAGGGGGACTCCGGCCTGAAAAGCAGGGCCACCCAGCAGGCCCTTACCGCCGCTTGCAGCATGGGCCACACACAGGTGAGTGGGCTCCCAGGGCACAACCGGAGAACGGGCACACACAAAAAATTCCTGAAAGGGCCATGAACTCATAGCCATTCTTGGTAGGGTCAAAAACCATAGCTGTAACTAGGACATTGCAGGTTCAGGACCAAGCACGGGTCTTGTAGTTATACTCTGAGCAGAAGCTGTCACACTGTTGTCTGTTTTATGCACCTTCAGTGGATGTTAAGGACATTAATTGACTTGAGAAGAATGACCCCCCTGGGCTGGTGGGATTGGGGTAGCCATGCCCTTATTACTTCCTGGGTGTCTCTCATTTGTCAGTCAGAGATTTACGTGCATATCAGGTGTTTGACATGTGATTGGTTTAGGCAAATGTGCATTGATCATCCTAAGTAATTTCCTGGTCACACTTTAAAAATCTGTTTATTCAGCACAAAGCACAATCATTTGAATATTTAGTTCCTACCCAAGGATGTGAGTTTGTGCCATTAATCACGTCGCCTTCCTTTTGACAGGTGGTGCGGAGTCTGCTGGCACTGAGTAATGAGCACAGCGTGCAGATTGATGGGCATGACACACTCTGGGGAGAGACAGGTACCGTCGCCTGCATCTTCTCATTCTGTGCATCTCCCATCGGGTCATCATTAGCACATGTTGGGCGCAAAGCATAGCCAGATCTCTCTCTCTGGACATGTCAGGAGGGTGCAGTATGTATTATCCAAAAACATGTTTTAGACCTGAATGCTGTAGCCTCCTTATGAGCTTAAAGCTCTGACCTCGAGGCGCCACCTGTTGCGCTAATCGTGCATCATCCAGATGGTTGTGGCTCTTCACAGCTGTCTCACATTAATCCCATTCACCTGTAAATAGAGCAGCCCTCCAATGCGTTTACGTTTTATAAACGCACATTGGCTTCACCCCCTTCCTACCGCCGCTCCTGAAAACGGACCCTAGATTGGCTCATCCTGTGTCTTATCCTGATGGAGTTTTACCAGATTGTTACCAGATTATTACCCGAGTGTTACCGGCCTACACTCGAAAGAGAGCTCTACCCTACCCTAATCCCCCCCCCCACCCCAAAACACATAGTGAAGTTGGAGATGCTGGATTCATCAATCTGGTTACTGAGCCGTAAAGTAGACACGCTCTGCTTAGGTCTTTTAAGCGCCACTGAAGTGAGATAGCAGAGAACTCGGTGCCTGTGAATCTTCATCACAGCTTAAAGCTCCATAAATGCCCAGTGGTGGGGTGGAATCCATCTCTAGGGGAATTTCAGCATCACCTGCCAGTTTTCAGGTTTGAGTACCACTGGTTGTGTCTACACTAGAAAGGCTTCAATCGAAAAAATTATAAATCTGTCTGAAGTAGTAATACTGCAAGCATCTCATGGAAGAAAATGGTTCTCTCCGAGGCCATATGATCAGATTAGACGGCGTTTGTGAGGCGGGCAGGCAGGTAGCCGCTGGACACGGTTGCCATTGGACACGGTCGCCGTTAACAACTGGTCACGACAACAACATGGTAATAGAGCGGGGAGTAGGAAGGCAGAAGAATCGCGGCTGATTAGCTGGCAGTACACTGGGTGCTGCGGAAACGTGTAGCACACAGGTCTTTATGAGAATTTACAAGCTGGGAGTGCTGGATTCTTTTGAAATAAATGATGTGGAATTTAAAAAAAAAAATTGAAAAGAGTTAAAATCTCTGCGAACATTTAGCTGTGAACCATGTTTTTTTCCAGAGAATTACATAAATGGAGATAAACAGAGAAATGTTCCCTGGCTTGTGTCCATCTAAAAGGGCGTTCTCAGCATTTACCTCTATGGCTGGCCTGACGTCATGTGATCCAGAGACCTGTCATGTGACTTGTTCCACAGAGACATGGCATTGGGTCAGTGTCATTTCATAAAGCTTTGATTGGTTCCTTCCTCCTACACTTTGTTTTGCCACCTTCAACAAAAGCAGGGCTGTGATAAAGAGCTGTGAATTAATTAAAACTGTTAGGATTGTTTTGGCAACGCTCGCTGTACTCGCACTTAATTTATTGCGCTTTGCAGCTCCAGCCAGCAGAGTTCGGGATTAGCTTGTTGGCCGCAGCGTCGCTAAAATGCTAAACGTCAGCGTAAAGACGTGAGCTATCCTGTGTGACCTTGTGCACCGCTGTTGTTTCAGATGAGCGGCTCATTCTGCTCCTGGTCTGTCGCTGCTACCAGACACTAAAAGAGGATAAACCATGGGCGTCGCCGCCATTAAATCTGAGGGGGACGTGTTGTTTGGACTCCCCCACGTTTAACATAAAATATTAGTTCTATGCCAGTGTCCCCCCCCCCATATTCAAAAATGCTTCTGACGCCCCTGGGATGAACAGTGTTTACAGGTTGGGGCCATTCCGGAATGCATTCACCAATTCCAATCGAATTCCAATCCAAATCATTTCCTGATTTGCATTGGAATTGATTAATGGATTCCGGAATGGCCCCCACCCTGGATTACAGCACCCCTCCTGGGCCTAATTGTGACAGGGAACATGGCCGTAAGCAGGACCTGATGATTTCAGCCTGGTCTGCTTCCCGGTCTGAGAGAAACAAAGGCGGAGCTAGCCTTAATTATGTTTTCCTGCTATACTGAGGTGCTAGACTGTAGCAGGGGTTTGTTAATTGGATTCCCATTCATTTGACTTCCAACTGCTTATCCTGCTGAGGGTCACAGGCCTGGAGCCTATCCCAGGCAGCACAGGGCTGGGGTACTGGATGGGATGCCGGTCCATGACGGGCCACATAGGCATGATCACACAGCCTGACTGCATGGCTTCGGAGTGCCTGGGGGGAGACCCGTGTTACGTGGGTGGAAAGCCAGTCTCTAAAGCAGGATTCCCCAGTCCCGGTCCTGGAGGGCCACTCTACACCACAGTTTGCAGATTTCCCTGCTCAAACACAGGTACTAAACCTAATTAGTTGGTAAGCTGTGTAAGATGCATTTGAGCAGGGAAATCTGCAAACTGTGGTGTAGAGTGGCCCTCCAGGACCGGGACTGGGGAATCCTGCTCCACATACAGACAGTGGAGAAGGGGAATCCCAGCTTGTAACCCTGGAGCTCGGAGGCAGGAGTGCTGGCCACTGAGCAAATGTGCAGCCCGTCAAGTAGCTAATGCTTGTAGACACTCTGCCAAGCCGTTTGATGTATCTCAACCAACGCTGGCACCAGAGGAACATGGATGAACATTTTTCTTTACACGTAACATTCCTTTACTGTGATCAGTCCGTGTCACATGCTGGTGCTGGTGCTCCTTACCAAACTCTGTGCACATTGGTGGGCTGTACTTAATATTCTTCAGTGTCTTTATTGTGTCCAAGCTGTTTCGCTTCCAGAAGGTTGTCATAGTCGACGGTGTGCCTGCTCAAAGTCACATCGCGACACCTGTGGGTGTCAGCATGCCGCCGACAGCTCTGCCCCGACAGGGGGGCATTTCCAACGGCATCCTTCATGCACGGCGGGTGACCTGTAGCAGAGACCGGGGGCCCCCACGCCCCTAATGGTCACATAATGAGTGTATATCGAAGCCTAATCGCATGCATCTGGCACCATCGTGAGATGGGTGAAGTCCCCGCCTGCCCAGCCACCCCCTGCGAGGAGATGAGCCAGCACAATTTGTTTCGTGCCGTTAAGCCCCCATCTGGAACTGGACGGTTGGATCGTTTCTGCAAGCGTGTCCGTTTCCCCGTGTGCTGGACGCACTCCCCAGGGACTCGTGTGAAGCTTTGCTGTAGGACGTGCTTTTAATGTGTTTCTCAGAGAGGACGACGTCAGCAGAAATCATGGCGCTGCAAGAGCCCTAGACATCTAAAGGCGTAGAGGTCACCTACAGCGCTTTCAGGCCAGCGATTATGATCAGAAGTCAATATTGCGGCTGCAGTGCTGTGACCTTGATGGCCGTTGGCCTCTCAATCTCATGCAGCCGCATCAGGAAGGCTCTGGAAAGAGCTCCGTGTGTAGATGATCCTGCCTCAGAAAAGCACCCACACAACAAGGTCCCGTGTAATTACACGAGTGTTAAGCTCATTTTCATGCCGTACAGCATGTTTTTCGCCGGGTTATAGGTTTACGGCGAACTGCATCTGTCTAACAAATGCAAATAAAATACGGATTCCAGATTTTTCTTTACATAAGGTGCCTGACTTAATCAGGACATGTTGCCGTATAGACAGACCATGTAGCTGATATGAATTTAATAAGGAAATACATTTATATAAATGTAGTCTGAATAGCTGATGTGAATTTAATAAAGATGTATTGATCATATAGATGTAGGATAAAGAGCTGCTTTAAACACTCTGAAATTACATGAATGATAACTGAAAGTTCAGGTCCAGAAAGTACAAATCCAGACCAAGGTTTTGTTTCAACCAACCACTTGAGTACTCTGTGACAGTGACTCTTTATACTAAACAGGTTGGTTGAAACAAAACCTTGGTCTGGATTTGTACTTTCTGGACCTGATCGTTCCACCTCTGATGAATATTAAGATGTACATCAATACACTGCCTCTAGTGTGTAAAACAAGTCAACAGTTGGTCTCGTGGTCTTGCAGAGGGGTAATACAAGCACAATACAAGACGACCGGTGGGGCGGCATAAAAAGGTGACAGAATCCTCCCGTCTGCAGCCCCATTTAGGCTCAAGTCCTGGGGGAACTCGTGGGGAAATGGCAGCCTTGCCCTTAAGTGGCCCATAAACAGTCCTCCCCACCTCGACCACCGAAGTCACTCCTGGGTGTGATGGATGGACAGACGGCCATTGACAGACACATTCGTCAAGCCGTGCTCTGGCTTTTATTTTTGGCGTACCCCCGACCCCCTTCCTGAAGGTCATATGTGGGAGAGGTTTTCACCAATGGTGCGTGTTTAATGGTGATTAAGGCAGCAGCTGTTAATCCCTGCGCTTGTCGCTCACATGAGAACAAAGATGTCGCCCCATCTCACCGTTACTTGCATACTATTGGCCCTAAACCACAGGACACAGGGATCACTGGTTCCTGGGCACAGTGGTGTCTTATGGGTAATTTGTTCAGAGGGTTTCATGGTTGATGAAAGGTTAGGCCCCGAAAAACCTCACCAGCCAGGAGCCCCTTGAGTTTCCTGGGTTCTTTATTGAAATAATACTCCACACTGCACGCTCCACCCCGACAGCACTCAGGCCGTTTTTAAACTCGGATCCTAGCAGACTGTTTTTGCCGAGGGATGGGATGTTACGTAAGGGATTAGAGCCGGGCCTCATGGCCGAGCCATCTGGAGGCTGTTAGGAGAGCACTGCGGCAGGTCAGGTGTACCTCCCGCTTCCTCGGAGCAGGCAGCCGGCTTTTTAGCAGCGCGATGGATGTTTCCTGTCAGCCCAACACGTGTCCAGGCCATGTCCCTCCTGGACAATAAGCATGAGGTTTGGGATGGGAATTAGATGGCCAGTTCATTTCCTTTTCTGCATTTCTGTGCGTATCCAGTCCATCTCTTCACAGTGTTGAGGGAGTAAATATATCCATGTGCAGTGTTTCTGGGGTCACCAGGTGTACTGAGCCCCAGTGTCATGTCCTCTGTCCCCAGCACTGTGTCTCCCCAGTGTCATGTCCTCTGTCCCCAGCACTGTGTCTCCCCAGTGTCATGTCCTCTGTCCCCAGCACTGTCCTCCTAGTGTCATGTCCT